CTAAATGAGGTGCTACATGAGGTCTGAGTTTTGTTCCCTTCTTCCCAGTCTTCCTCAATTACCAAGGACTGAAGAGACTTTCAGTGAAATTTGGCTGTCAATGCCCCCAACCCCACATCACTTTTTAAGGTCCAGGAACTTTATTTGGGGGATAGTGAAATACACTTTTAAATGGAAAGCCCTAAAGCACATACAACAGCTGAAGGAATGGCCACTGTGCACCTGAAGGCTGATGACGCAGACGGTAGGGTCCCTTCCTCCAAGATGTTCCTGGGTGTGTGATGGTTGGATGCCTCAGGCATATGGAATTGAAGACTGGACGGAAGTAAAAACAAGCGCCATATCCCATAGGAAAACAGCAAAAGAACAGGTGGGCATCCGTGAAGACAGGTAATCAAATTTGTTGAGTTTAAGATGAAATTTTTTTCCGAAGTTTTTAATGTTCTTAGCTAAATATGAGTCTTTTCAACAAACTGAGAATTAAAAGGAGTATGGAGTTCGAAGATGAGAGAAAAAAAGTCCTGAGAGAGCAGAAAGAAAATTCACACAAAACTGTCACACGGCGGAGGCCAGAATGGAGCTGATGCAGCAATGTCATTATTCTGCAGACCTAGTTGAGACACTTTGGTATTTAAGGCAGGCCCAGCGGTGAAGAACTCGTTTAGCTTTTGCTTCTCTGGGAAACGTCTTACCCATCCTTTATTTTACAAAAGGTTTACATGGTAATGTTTCTTGGTTGGCAGAGTTTTGTTTGTTTTTCAGTTTTTTTCCCCGAGCAATTTGAATACAATCATGGGCCACTTAAAAATGATTCAGTCAACAATAGACCACATATATGTTTGTGGCCACATAACATTGTAATACCATATTTTCCCTAAGGATGTTCCATATTTAGATGTGTTTAGATAAACAGATACTTACCACGGCGTTTCAGTTCCTTGCAGTGTTCGGTGCAGTAACACTCTGTATAAGTTAGTTGTCTGGAAACATTGTGTTATTCCACATAGTCTATGTGTAGTAGGATATTCCTAGTAGGTTTGTGTAAGTTCTCCCTATGATGCTTGCACAATGATGACATTGACTAGAAATACATTTCTCAGAAATAATCTCTATCAATAAACCATACATTATCTAATATAATTCCTCTCCATTCTGAACTGACAATCTTCTGCTGAGAAATCTCCTAAATCTGCTCTTTTACTCTCCGCTTTCAAAAACCTTTCCTTTATCAAAGTCGTTTCAAACTATCTCTGATTTTTCTCATTTGGTTTACCTTATTTGAAATGTATAGAGCTTCATGGATGTGGACGAATATTTGCTTCTTCACATTTAGAAAGTTGCTATGCTATTACTTCTTTAAAAACCTTTCTGCCTCTCTTGCTCTGTCTGTCTTGCTCTGTCTCTCTCTCTGTCTCTCACCCTGTTCCTTTACTACCACTTTTGTCGAGTCTTTGCATAACTCCTCAATGCATAAAATTTCATTTTCACTGTGCTTCCTGACTCATAAGTCTTTAACTTTTTTATTTCTTTAAGTTTTTCTTCTCTGTCTGTACTATTTCAAATGATCTTTCTTTGAGTTTACTGTTTCTTTTATTATTTGGTCTAATCTGGTCTACAATCCTCTTAAAAATTTTGTCTGACTTATTGTATTCTTGAGCATCAATATTTTTGTTTAGTCATCTTTTAAATGTTTTATCTCTATGAAAATTCTCACATTGTTCTTGTGTGATGCCACTAGCTCATTGAACATGTTTCTAACATTTACTTTAAATTTTCTTCCAGGTAATCCATATGCTTCCTTTTCATTGATGTCAGTTTCTAGATCTTTATGTTGTTCTTCTCTTTGGACCATGTTCCCCTCCTCCTTCATTTTCCTTGACTGTCACTGTTGCTACCTGTTCATTATAACAAAAGCCACCACAAACTCTTCAAAGACGAGGCTTATAGAGATCATCCTCACAAATCAGTCCAGGCAGTAATTTGGGTCTCTCAAAACTTCATAGTATTCAAACTTCTATCTCTGTTCTTAATGGCCCCCGGGATTTAGAGGATGATAGATTCTGCCAGAAATGACAGGTAGGGGAGGTAGAAACTATTTACTCAAGTAGCCCCTTGAAAATTTGGACCACCGGACAAAGTTTTGTTATTGATGTATGATTCATCAAAATAATGTTAGTTCAATCTTCTCTCAACCAGTCATTAAACATGGAAATTTTATCATTTCTTATTTGAATCTGGGGTTTAATCTTTGAGTATTTAGGTAAAATTACAAACTAGTTTAAATCTGCCTATTTGGCAAACTGATCTGTTGCTGAATTTCCATTTTCTGCGTTATCTCTGTGCATTTAAATCTAAATCTGTATTAAACATGCATCTAGAATGCGGAAAAGTGCCTTAAAGTTCCTTAATTTATTTAATTTAATGGAGTTTCCAGAAGATGTGAAAATCTCCTTTGTTTATCAAACACCTGACTATTGGTCAATAGTTTTCTCTTTAATTTTTCTCTCTCCTCTCACATTATCTATAATAAGCAAGGAGAAATGAAGACACACCATCGACAGTTTG